GCACGCACGCACACACACAGCATAACAGATTTCATAGGACCAGCCGTGGAGTCTTTTCACTTACGAATCTTTTTTCTAATAAATAATGAAACGAACAATAAATAATCCGACTGCTCACAGCTCACACGACCCCCCCGACTCCACGCAGAACCATCTTAACAAGAGTCCATAATAGAAAAATTTCCTATTATGGACTCTCGATCTTAACAAACACCGGCAGATTAAAGCTTAGCACAGACCTGCGATTTTTGGTTGCTTGTCGCTGCAAACTGCAACCGCAAGCGATCGGTCGATGTGTCGCCGCGTGTGCGCACACATGCGATTTCGAAGCTATTCTAGAGCAATTTGGCAGCGATCGGGAGCGACGAGTCGCTCAAAATCAAAACAGTTTGCTTTCTTGCGACTCTGCGCAAGCGACCAGAATCGCTACGGGTTGCAGTTGCACGTTCCCGCACACGTAGCGAATTCACAGCAATTTTTACAGTGATTCTAGAATCGCTGTCGCGAGGTGCATGAAAAAGTCGCAGGTCTGTGCTAGGCTTAAGCGTTGGCGCGCTCTCTCGTCGGTTGCCATGGACGCACCTGGTTGTCGGACAGCCATAGTGCGTCGAGTTGCTTCAGCTTGACGAGGCTGATTGGAAGACTCTGCAGCTGATTCTCGCTCAGGTTGACGACGCGAAGCTGAGACACGTGACCCAGCTCCTGCGGCACGTGGCGCAACCTGTTGCCACGCAGCGACAACACCGTCAGTCCACTGCAGCTGCCGATCTGCAACGATCAGAGTGACCGCGGTTAGTGTGTCCACCGGCGTCGACGGTATGGCTGATGAGTTACTACACCAAGAAACACACTCATCGAAAACTACGTACAGAAGTTGAAGCACGGTTGATCTAGCTACTATCGCGAAATACCCAAACCGCTAACCCTGGATATTGTTTCTAGATCGGTAAAACTACACCAGTTCATGTGGTATTTAAATAAGTATGGAATACTGTTTTCAGATATCGCTTTAATCATACTAGGACGACATCCCAAATGATCGAGATCTGTAACACACAACATGATTAAACTAATTAAAATTGAAGCAGAGAACATGTGATTAATCAAACTAAACTGAACTGGTACAGTCACAGTACATTATTCTTTAGTATTCATGCGTACGAGTAAAATTGTCGACTTTCGGCTAATTCGTTGCCAAGCATGATCTTTTAGAACGTGCTATCACAATGATGAATGGCTAGAGCTGCCCATCAAGCACACTGGGTGGAGAGGTAAATTAAAAGGAATATGGTTTGATCCCTATATGTGGGTCGAAGTTCCGAGGTCACGTTCACATGTTCGGTTGTTAATCAGCTATATATTCTGTACAAATAATTGTAATTGTAATAATTCTTATTGTATAAAGCTGATTGTAATTTTGGGGGTTCCTGTCTCACGTGATGTACTTGCATAACGCGAGTACTGCGAAATACGTCAATGAGCGTGAGAACGCGATATTCGAATGTCTGTATTCGAATTCAAAACGATTCAAAACAACTCGAATGCAGGGGACAAAACGTCACCTTTCCTGCTTTCATACGTACATCGAACATTACATGATATCATACTAACAACAAAACATCCGACCAATGAATGGCTAGCGCCTAAAAACCCGGTGGATATGAATTCGTTTTAACAGTTCCTGAATAGAACCACCATAGCGTGCACGCAGCAATATGGCAACAATTTAGAAAAAAATGTTCACATAACCATTTTATTACTGAATATGCTTAACGATAATATATGCTTTTATATGACATATTTCGTGACATGTGTTGGTGGAACGGCGGGCTTAATTGCTCCTGATAGCAATCCGTTTCCAATTCAGCCTAGCTTCTTGTATGCAAGTAACAAGAAATGATATATATAGTTGTGTGACATATAATTAAAAGTCAATGACGTACTATACATTTTGTACTTCAACCGTTGACAGCCTGTTCTCATGTACCGCCAAACAAAAATAGAAATCAGTGTAACATACTGGTTGAGGAGAGTGAGGTGGGGGTTCTAAATACGTGGACGACATTCATATCTGTCCACTCTGCCTTCTGCCAACATCACAGCGTCAAAGCAAACCGCAAATGTCAACCTCCTAATGTGTGCGATGACAGTTGTTGGGCACGAGACCTCGGTTAACCATTCAGCAGACGAGCTTGATGACAATGAAACGACGACGGGCTTGTGTAAACGACAGCGGCGATGTTTACCACGTGCACCTGCTGTCGATTTTCTAACCAGCAGCATATACCGTATATAGTATATACCGAACAAATAACGCCATCGACTTCCCTTCACCCCGGGAGCAAAATTTTTTTCCCCACGAGAGTTCCGGACCACAGCCAATCAGCGCACTCCATTCACTCGACTTCCTCGAAGCAACAATGTAAAATGAATACCCACTGTCCCTAACGCTAACCCTAACCCGAACCCTAACTATAATCCAACCATATATGTACGAACCATATATTACAAAACATTATCTATGGTGGGTCCGGAACTCTCGTGGGTGGAAAAATTTCGCACCCCCCCCCCCCGGGAACCATGGATGGCGAGAAGGGGGCGTGTGATTGCGTGGTTGTTGGGTTGTCCTCTCAAATCAGTCCCACTGTTGACTAAACAATCTACACAATCGAATGTGTACGGACACGCCTACATACAGCATACAAACGTAATCAATGATGGGAAGTCGTCAATAGCAGGTGCACATCGATGGCAGCCAATCAATGGCAGCCCGTCCCCCGAAAAAAAGGTGAGAAGAGGTGCCACGCTAGAGATCGAAGCACGACGCTAGAGAACGGAGCACGATGCTAGAGAACGAAGCACGACGCTAGAGAACGGAGCACGATGCTAGAGAACGAAGCACGACGCTAGAGAACGGTGCACGACGCTAGAGAACGAAGCACGACGCTAGAGAACGGTGCACGACGCTAGAGAACGAAGCACGACGCTAGAGAACGAAGCACGACGCTAGAGAACGGTGCACGACGCTAGAGAACGGAGCACGACCCTAGAGAACGGTGCACGACGCTAGAGAACGGTGTACGACGCTAGAGAACGGTGCGCGACGCTAGAGAACGGTGCGCGACGCTAAAGAACGGTGCACGACGCTAGAGAACTGTGCACGACGCTAGAGAATGGTGCACGACGCTAGAGAACGGTGCACGACGCTAGAGAACGGTGCACGACGCTAAAGAACGGTGCACGACGCTAGAGAACCGTGCACGACGCTAGCGGACGGTGTGCACACGGCAGGGTAACGTCAGAGAAGGAAAGACCACGCTAGAGAAAGACGAGCAACGTTCGGTAGAGGGGGTTGCACTAGAGAAGGAATGGCCGAGCTAGAATAGCAAGAACAGTCCAAGTGAAAGAACAACTATTCATGCACATGTGAGAAGGGTGGAGCACTACTAAACAACGTGACAGTGATAACGGATATCAATTCCAAAAGAATGGAGAGCACGATATGATGAGGACGAGACCTCCGTTGAATTCGTCCGTCTCACTTATACAGCTAGAAGTCAAAAACAGATGAGACGGAGATAAAGACCAAGAGGGAGAGAGAAGTGCAGAGAACGCACACGCACGCACGCAGGCGCACAAACGTACACACACACGCACACGCACGCACGCAGGCGCACAAACGTACACACACACGCACACGCACGCACGCACGCACGCACATACACGCACACTCTCACTCAAAAACGCGCAATCTCGCTTACAAACGCATACTCAAATACACACACGTAGACTTATAGAAACGAATAGCACGTATTTTCTAGCTAGCAGCCGACCACGCAACTTTGAGAAACACTTGTTCCACAAAACAGACAACAGCGCCACCTGTCGTGCATCATGACCAACGCCAGCGACAAATTCCCACCGACAGAGGGCGCTGCTTACAACGTGTCTGCGGGCGTCGAATTCAGCGACGCGATGCGGATCTACATGATGACAGCGACTGCCTTGCTGGGAGTTGCCGGCATCGTCCTCAACTCCCTCGTCGTCGCGACGGGACTCCGCTTCCGACAGTTCCGCAACAGCGCGCACTACGCGGCGGCCGCGCTCTCCGTCGCCTACCTGCTCGACGGCAGCGTACGCGGCCCGCTGACGTTCGCGCGCTGGCTGCTGCTGCCGCGCGGCCCCGCGAGCGAGGCGCGCTGCCACGTGTTCAGCTTCACCGAGACGCTGCTGCTCTACGCTTGCTTTCTTCACCTGTTCGTTATCGCCGGCGACCGCTACGTCGCCGTCATGCGTCCGCTGCAGTACGGCCGCCTGGCGACGGGCGGCCGCGTCGCCGCCGCGTCGGTCGGCGCGTGGTGCGTCGCGCTCGCCCTCATCGTCGTCTGCAGCAGCCCGTCGTGGACGGACGGCGTGCCCTGCTTCGTCAACTCGGGGCTGGAGCAGTACAACGTCTTCACGCTCTCCTCCTTCTCACTGCCCGCCGTCGTCTTACTCGCTCTCTACGCGCGCATCTGGCGCGAGTCGCGTCGCCAGGCAACCCGCATCGCCGCCGTGGCGACGGGAGGCGGCAGCGGCGGCGTGTCGCTGCATCGCGGGACGGTGACGATAGGCGCCATCTTGCTCGTCTTCATGCTCAGCTGGGTGCTGTTTCTCGCGCTGGGCGTCGCGCAGCTGCTGTGCGCATGCGTGCCTGCGTCGGCGTTCGAGGTCGCAAAGTTCTTCATCTCGGGCAATGCCGTGCTGAATCCTTTGATCTTCGCCGTACGCAGCAGCAGGTATCGCAGGGCTTTCTACGCGCTGCTCACTGGCTCGCACTACACTGATGACGCTTAAGCCCCGGACACACTATAGGCGATTTTTAATGCGATCTAATCGGGCGAGTAAAGTCGCTTGGCAAAATCGCCTAGTGTGTCCATCACCGCGACCGACGATTTGCAGCGGCGACTTGGTCGCTCGATTCGATCGCATCGATCAGAACGTTTTGATATTATCGCGCGATTTTTTAATCAATCGCACTTCAGTCGCCTAGTGTGTCCACTTCGTCGATCACTTTAACCCGACTGAAAACTTCACCAGCCAATCAGTGTTGTTCAATCCTCTTTTTTCTTTTTACTGGACGCTGCCATTTTGTTCGTTTACGTGGTGGCGGTAGTGCGCGGTAGGTGAAGGTAGGAACTCGCCGTCAAAAATCGCGTAATGTGTCCACTCGACTCGCGCGATCAAGTCTCACTAGAATTATCGGGCGATAAAGTCGCGCAACTAGTCGTCAGAAAAAAATCGCCTAGTGTGTCCGGGGCTTTAGAGCCTACACGATACACTGAAGACTGGGTACTACCACGCTCCCGTCTACATCGAAAACTAAGTCCTACCACACTGACTGCTACACTAAAGACTAGATAGATTAGAGATCATATTCACCAGCACAGTCCTATCCCTGCTGCTCTCCTCGATTAGTTATACTAGATTATATATCAAGAATGAATAAAACATTTTTTATTCACTCCTGATTATTGTAATTAAATCTCACTCTATGGTTTGACATTATATTATACTAGCTATTACCCGTCCTCCAGGCGGGTTTGAGTGGGGTCTGATTTGAGGATGGCGGTTTAACCATCTCTCACTTTTATTTGAGGATGTATTTACAGTAAACGAAAAATACTGATATTTAGACTCGAGTCATATATCAATATTTGTTTAAAAAAAGTTGTATCTAAATATATATAAAATCTGACATTTTACCTTAAAATGACATGTAATTTTTCACAAAAAGGGAAATGGGGTGATTTCATAGTACAATTTCACTTATTTATATATTATTTTTGAAAATATTATTCTGGTTAGAAGCATCAATAATAAGTCAAATTCTTAAAAAAAAATGTATTGTGTAGTTTTGAAGATATATTTTCTTGAAAGTCAGTGGACGGCGGCGGGCACGGTTACACCTCCCGTTGTCAAATATTTGCACACACGCGCGCACACACACATCACACACACGCGCGCCCACACGCACGCAAACACATTAATACTTTAACACAATTGCAAAAGGTTATGGTATGTAAAGTGTGGAATGTGTGTGCTCTTAGACAATCGAAACGGCGTCTAAAAATGTCAGAGCATTGGGAGCCGGGTAAGCGCGGGCACGGTTACACCTCCCGTTGCACACACGCGCGCACGCACGCACACACCGTATTCACACACATACGGGCATGCGCACGCACAATCACACGCGCACCCACACACATACATACCACATTTACACACACACGCGCGCACACACATACACACACACACACACACACACACACACACACACAACTGCAGCCGTCTCTCGTTGGGGTTTGTCTTAAATTTTCTTAAATTCTCACAGCTGTGCGCGGCAGTGCTTGGTTGTTTATACACTGCAGCCGCAATGGCTTCGGTGCGTGCGTGTGTGCGCATGCGGATTTGACGATCTTAAAATTTAGTGCGGGTTTCCGATAAATGCCGAAGTTTCTTCGGGCACATAACTTTTTAGAAAATTGCCTCCAAAAGTCACTTTACGATCGAAAAATCGTGTTCCAACGTAGCGGAATGTATTCGGGACGTCCAGAGGGGACCCCCGCTCGATTCGCGTGAGCACACGTGGCACGGTTTCGGAGGAGATACGGAAAACGACACTTCGGCTTTTTCCACTATTATATTATAGATTGTACTGCCCTGGAGTGTACTGACACTGTCACGTGATGTAGTGTTATGTTATGTTTTACGTACGATGCTATTATTAGGAGTACGAGTGGGAGTAGAGTCTTTCATTTATGTACTTAGTACTTGTGCTAATTCGATTTATTCGTTCGTTTTTTTGAATAATGGGATTCATAACTTAACATAACTTTACTTAACACAATTTTTAACTTACACGTGCTTACATTCGTTATTTGACATTTTTCTTTGACGCTATGTTATAATTGGAATAACACGATTAGCAACAAGCGAACACAGATAAACATGGAACTCTACATTTTTATGGTTATTTTCCATCTGTATTCAGGTTTGTGTATAGTGACTATATTGTCTATACTATATATTTATATTTAGCGTACACTGTCCTATTCAGTAGTATAGTATTGTGTACACTATTAGGAACCTAATGCCTGGGACACACCATGCAAATTTATTCGCACGTCCGCGGCGATCATATCCGCAGCGAAAAAAGCGGCGGAAATATTTGCACCCGCATGCGATCGACATTATCGATCTCCGAGCAGACACATCATGCAAATTTATTCGCACGTCCGCGGCGATCATATCCGCAGCGAAAAAAGCGGCGGAAATATTCGCACCCGCATGCGATCGACATTATCGATCTCCGAGCAGACACACCATGCAAATTTATTCGCACGTCCGCGGCGATCATATCCGCAGCGAAAAAAGCGGCGGAAATATTCGCACCCGCATGCGATCGACATTATCGATCTCCGAGCGCACACACCATGCAAATTTATTCGCACGTCCGCAGCGTACACACGACACGCGATCTACTGGCGCCACACGGCACCACCATGGCTCCAACAGTCATGTGCTCACGTGATTAGCATACTGATCAATGATTCGCTGCATTATAACAATCGTCCGCACGTCGGCAGCGAAAATATCAAACATGTTTGATCCGCTGCGAATTTCGGTGCGGATGAAATTCGCCCGCGCTTGAGCGGACACACCATGCGAATTTCGCTGCGATTTTACAATCGCTGCGGACGTGCGAATAAATCGCATGGTGTGTCCCCCGCTTAACACTCTGAATTCCAGTGGTTACAATGTTTAATTTATGCTAACAATTTCAAGATTGTAATTATCATGAAATTCTTGGAATCCGTATCTTGTCAGAAGTAAAATATTACAATGCAAATGTTACTGCAGTCCTGATCCCATATTTAGACATAGATAACACTTTATTGTATCGTAATGTCTTGTTGCATTTGCATCGAGTTGCATGAAACTATTTAACGGTGTTGTTTAATACTTTTATGTACTATGATATATATATTTATCAAATTGCATGTACTATAAAAAACATTATGTGTGCATAATTTTGGTGGGCATATACTTGAATATGTTCAATGAAAGAAAATGTTTTTTCATCACACTATACATCTCACCATTGTTTATCTGCAATAAGAACACTGCCACGCTGCCGCTGCTGTACCACTATCATCATCGTTATCGTCATCGTCCCTATCACCACTGACCTCAGCATCATCAGTACCATCGTCATCACCATTGCTGCCACCGGTGTACCACTATCACCATTGTTGTCATTATCATCACCGGCATCGTTATGCATCATCGTCTTCATCACCATCATCATCATCATCAGCATCGTACTCAGCAGCTGTCCCACTATCATCATCGCTGTCATCGTCATCATCACCGTCACTCTTATTGTGTATTTTAATTAATATTCATTATTAATATCAATTATTTATTAATTAAATTGTTTATTTAATATTTAACCGTTCTGTTGCTGTGAGACGGCCATGTGGAAGATAGGTGCGCGCCAATTTATTGTGTCTGTACCTAACATGTTTTACCGTCGTTAAATAAAGTTTTTACTTACTTACTTACTTACGTCATCGTTTTCCTCGGCATCACCACCACGATCATCATCGTCATCAAGCTCAGCAACTCACCTCTTGCGGAAGTTCCTCGATAACGTTGTCGTCCGCGTTGAACGTGCGCAGGTTCCGCAGCAGCCCCATCGTCCCCGGCAACCGTCGGATGTCGTTCTTGCTCAGGTTTAGCTCGGAGAGGCTGCTGAGTCTGTGATGCAGAGAAGATGCTGCAGTTATCATACTCTTGAGGTTGCACTCGAAGAAAGATGACATTATTGAAAGGCAGTTGGCTCCATAGAACTACACTGAACATAGGCTGCATCGAACACACTGAATGTAAGCTACCCTGGGGTTAAATTAATAAGGTACCCTAAAATATCCCCTGTCTCCATCTAGTACAGGAAGTTATTCTTAAGCAACACCAGGTTACCCATGTGTCTTCAGTAACATCTAGTTATTCCTGAGCTACTCTGAGGTAACCTTGCTTTTTTCTGTTACATCAAGTTGTTCGACTGCCCAGTATCTTATAGGGCAATTTGTATGCCGCACATAAACTCAAACTCGCTTTTTTAATTGATACAAAGTTTTGTTAATGCGCATTTTAAACAGAATCTCATCCAATAGCCATAAAACAGTGAGCTAACCCAAGGTGATACTAAGCCTACATGTTGCTTACTTGCCAATACTTGCTGGAACGCCCACAAGCCTGTTGTTGTCCACTTTGAGCGTTGTCAGGTTGCTCAGTTTACCTGCAAGTGAAGCAACAAGCATGTCAGTTCTTCATCTGCTCCGATGATGCAGGTTAGACTTATGTGTAGGCCAAGCCCTTACCACAAGCAACAACACTCAGTTTTATGACTCAATGCTGAAGGTTGAAATGTGTGGGTTACTCGAAATTTCAGCATTGCACAGGTAATGGCAGTCGGCTGTGCTTGTAGTGACACCAGCTTCAGTGGCGGATCCAGGGGGGCACAGGGGGCAGTCGCCCCCCCCCCTAGAATTTTCAGGGCAAGGGTATTTTAGCCTAAAAATAATTTTAGCATTCGTGCCCTTGAGCTCGCATGATTCGCCCCCACCCCTATAATTCACTTCTGGATCCGCCACTGAGCATATTGTAATATCTTACAGTTAGTCTTAATATTGCATAGTTATTTAGACTATTCATACCGGTAGTGGGATACTAATATGGATTTGACACACAGTGCTGCATGGTGAATAATGCAACGCTTTTAACGACGAACAATAATAGTTTTTCTAGAAATTTCTGTTAATTTGGCATTAATACCCTTTTTAACAAGAAAGGACACAAAATAAAAAATGTATAAATAAAATAATACGAAATATATAAATACGAATAAAAAATGTGAATAAAAAAGATATGAAATAAAATCGTTAGAAGTTGTTACGTGGGGTACGTGGAAATCATGGGGTAGTTGGGAATCGATTGCAGAAGTCGCATGACAACATGATAGAAGCTGGAGCGTGATAACTCACCTATGCTGTGTGGTAGGTGTGTGAGACAGTTGGTGGACAAGTAGAGGTCAGACAGTGAGTCACAGCCTAGCACCTCGTCCGCTACGTGCGCGATGAAATTGTTCGATGCATCAAGGAACATCAGCTGTTTCAGCCTTCCCAGTCCCTACAGTGGAGACAGCATGCAACTTATGTCAACATCTCACAACGAATGTTATTATTATATCTATAATATCAAAAAAAGTAAACGCACGTGCCTGCATGCGTGCATGTGTGTCTGTCCGTGTATGGGCGAATGCGTGTGCACGCGTGCGTGCGTGCATGCATGCGTGTGTGTGCATGTGTATAAGCCCATACATTTTCGTTTTCCCCCTTTGTATTTCCTAGTCCTCTTCCCCTCTTCCTCTCACATGCTCTTTCCCCCTGTCTGTCTGTCTCTCACTCACTCACTCTCCTCTCTCTCTCTCTCTCTCTCTCTCATTTCTCCTTGTCCTTCTCCCTCTGTCTATCTGCACGCTCTCTCCCCCTCTGCTCTCCCCCTCTCTCTCTCTCTCTCTGTCTGTCTCTCTCTCTCCCCCTCTCTCTCTCTTTCTGGTGCTTTCTCTATCTCACACTAACTCTAGCCTCTAAACCTGAGCTGCCTGGCGTGTATCCGCCAGGCAGACACTAGCCAGGCGGGCGCGCGCATGCAGGGAAGGTGACTTAGGCAAGACTTACCGCCGGCAGGCTGGCGATCTTGTTGTAATCACACCACAGCTCCAGGAGGCTTACGAGACTGCCGATGACTTCTGGCTGCAGCATCAACATCAACAACAAACACGGATGAGTCAGATGGTGTGCAGTGCGGGAACTGCCAGCACAATACGATGGGGGTAAATGCAGAGTGATATGTGGATGATGAAGCTCGTTTCAAAGAATTAAAGTTGAGAAAAAATAATGATGAAATGAAAAACGAAAAAAGAAATCATAAATTATGTTATATTACATTATATGTTTATATATTGTTTATATGTGCACATATATTATGTTTATATGTGTATATATATTATGTTTATATGTTTATATTATATTATATATTGATGTTATTAAATTATATGTTATAAAATATTACTACATTGGACGTTATAAAGTAACTTAAGTCCTGGTTATGAGACCTGTATAATGTTTTTTTAATTTGAACAGATGTCAGGACACTGCTGGCACATCTCAGCAAACTACCACTGCAAACTGAACAGTAGATTTTTGCCGTCAGGTTAACTTCTCTCACCATAGGGAGCCTACCATGTAAATATCCTCGCTTGTTTTTAAGTTTTGTTCCCTTAAGTAAACGTGTATGACTATAGACTGCATAGAGCAATTCACAAAGAAAACATTTGTCTACGAAAACATTTGTCTACCCAACCCAACTAACCTACCCGTTACATGCTCGGTTGGGTTACTTAACTACAAATAATAAATGCTTAAGAACACCCGAAAAGGCCACTGTGCAGTCTTGCAGTCTACGATGGTGACTGTTGAATTACAGCTGACAACTGTCTTACCAGATGTCCTGCATGCACGCATTTTTCTACTTCAACAGTATTCATCCCCTAGCTGCCACGCACAAGTTGTGCATATAGCGATACCCACCATTTACCGCCCTGTCATCGCCATTGCGCCGAAAACATTTTTGCTTACACTGTGGACGTTTTTTACATTTTCTTTTCGATATGTGGTGTGATGAGACTACCAAACTAGGAAAACCTGTTCACGTTGATTTGGCGCAGTTTCTCTTGTTACTGTTATAGTAACGGACTTATAAAGTAAACGACAAAATTTGCTTTAAATGATCATAACAAATATAAACTTGTTAGTTTATGGGCTCTTGATATTGCTATATAAAGCACTCAAATATGAGCCCGGCAATTATGCGTGCACAATGTATGACAATCGATGTACATTCTTAGCTCTCTCATCTTTCATAAACTCGCACTACTGATAAAACAGGTGGAAAGCCTGTGCTGATATAATAACGCAGCCCGATGTTTTCATACATTCATCGGCAACCATAACACAGTGTTCGCATGGATGAGGCATCGCTGTTGTTTCTAGTTTTGTGCTGTTGTTGTTGCGTGGGTGGAGACTTTGTTGAAAATGCGCGGGAGTGCAACCACAATCCCCCTTTCACAATAAACAGGAGAACATCAATGATCGAGCGTACAAGTGTATTCTCGTGCTATGGCTGGGGTCATGGAAACTTCGAACATTAGAGAGGATTGCTTCTCTTGTTTCCTTCCTAGAAACTACGCATCTGGTACCAACATGAACCCCTCTTTTAGGAACTTAGGTTATAAAGATGAAATTTTTTTTTAGGATTATGGAAATTCCAAAAGAAAGTGAAAGAAAAGGGATGACGCAGATGCATCGATAGGCTATGAAACCACAACATCACTTTAGAATTTGAATCTCATTAAAGGAGTCCCCTGTGAGAAGATAAATATAATCCGTAGGGGTTTGGCAGGCCCGAATCCCAGACGCTCATACAGCGATCGTGCATCCCACGGGACCGTGGTACGGAGGCTGCGCTCTCTCACCAGTTCCAGCAGGTCGTTGTTGCCAACGTCTAGCCGCTCCAGCTGCTGAAGGCGGGACATCGACTTTGGCAGCGTCTTCAGGTGGTTCTCTCTCACCTCCAGGATGCGTAACCGTGACAACCTACGCAAAGCCGAAAATAATCATGCGACAAATTGGGAGCAAACGAGAAATGAAACGAGAAATGAGGAATGAGAAATGCGGGTCTACAGGCAGTAAGACTTTTGCCATCACGTTGGGCATCTCTAGGGCAACCTAGATGATGGCACTGCATCTAGGTTTATCTAATAATACTGCAAAGTCACTTATTTTCGTGGATCCCAATTTTCGTGGTTTCGATAAAAAACACATGTTCGAGGATTTTTAAATTCGTGGATTGAAATCGTAGAACCGGTACTTGACATCTGTACATCATATTTCGTTGGGAGCGTAAGTTCGTGGATTGATAGACCCACGAAATCCACGAAAATTGGTACACCACGAAAAAAAAGGAATTTACAGTAACCTATAATTCTTCACTGTCAGCATGAACTTACCTGCCAAAGTTGCCTGGCAGGTACTCGAGGAATGTGTCATTAAGATACAGCTCAGTGAGATTCAGCAATTGCGTGAACCCCTCTGGAAGTCTGAAAGTCATATAACGGAATATATATTACACACGTCACTTTTAGGATCTCTCTCTCTCTCTCTCTCTCGCTCTCTCTCTCTCTCTCTCCTCTCATCTTCTCTCTCTCTCTCCTCTCTCTCTCTCTACCTCTCTCTCTCGTCTCTCTCTCTTTCTTCTCCTCTTCGTCTCTCTCTCCTCTCTTCTCTCCTTCTCTCTCTCCTCTCACTCTCTCTTCTCTCGTTCTCTCGCTCTCTCTCTCTCTTCTCTCTACTCTCTCCTCTCCTCTCTTCTCTCTCTCTCTCTCTCTCACTCACCTCTCTCTCTCTCTCTCTCTCTTCTCTCTCTCTCTGCTACTATAATATAATATGATATATTTCACTATTATAGTAATACTATAATAATATACTATATCATATATGTATATATATATTCACGCACGCACACCGCCACGCGCACGCACGCATGCCATGCAGGCACGCGACACGCACGGCCCATTATATAAACTATTATACAAATTACAGTTTTAGCTATACTTTCAATGCAACGTGATGCATCCTCCTGAATCCGCTTGCCGAGCATGGTGTCTTAGCCATATTAGCTCCCGCTGTCTCCTTCGGGTTATGGAGTATTATACTGAACTGGGGGGTAGTCAGTGATGCTACTGAGGTGGTGGGCTCCACGCAATCAGTTAGATGACTTGGAACAACAAACGTGCTCCACACGCACGCATCTACACACACAATCAACGCACACATACAATACGTTCATACACAATATTACGCATCGACCGGTCAGAAGATATAACGCCATCAATATTTATATAGTAGTTCCACGAATTTCAGTGATTGCTACAGTCGTGCTAGTATTGTTATACACATAAGGCCTAACGTACATCATCACCGTTCGTGTACACGTGTACACGCAAGACACCACCTTTTCGGGCAGGTACGGGGTTGGAAAGCTTGCCTCTAAATATCTTTTAAACAGTACACGCGTTTAGCAAGCGTCCCTCCACGCCAGGTGACATCTTCGCATTCCTCAGTTACGCGGATCGAATTCTTATGATTACGCACACCAGCACATGTGTCTCGGGACTGGACACTCTTTATCAAACGCAAGTTCTGACAGATGTTTTTCATATTTCAGTTTAAATAAGCACCATATGGGAGACGCTTCATCTGTCACTCCAAGAATTCTCCAGGCCCAACCCTGACACGCGCCAACAAAGTGGCGTTTGTAATTCGTCCAAAACATAGCTACAGCATATTCGTCACAAGATACGCAACTTCTCCGTCTTTTTCTCGCTCGTCTCTCTATCTCTCTTCTCTTCTCTCTCTCTTCTTCCCTCCCTCCGCCGTCTTTCTCTCTCCCCTCTCTCTCTCTCTCTCTCTCTCTCTCTCTCTCTCTCTCTCTCTCTCTCTCTCTCTCTCTCTCTCT